GATTTATATCTCATATACCTCACCAGACCATGTACAGGACTTAACCCTTAAACAATACAAATAGTATACAGAATATAAACAAACAGTGATGTAAAACAAGTAGTTTACAGTGTATAAACCATTCGTTCTTGTAACTGCTATTAGCATGTTTTATTGCCAGGCTGCATTTTAGTACAGCGAAGTAAACTTGCCTAGAGTAGATGTGTGTTAAAGTACAATGTAATACCTGTCGGTGATAGTAAATACAAGTGTAATACCTGTCGGTGATAGTAAATGCATGTGCTATAGTAATACCTGTATGTGATAGTAAATACATATGCAAGACCACTTGTGTTTTTCTAACGAATCAGAAAGCACTCAATAATTGCGCTGACGAATATATTCACGAGTGCGCGGGGCGATTTCAGGGGGTGCGATATCTAGTGGGGTGCGATAATATATCACAAATATACCAGAACCCGAGCACCTGTGGTTCAAATATAATCTTAACGGTGAGTTTTGCAATATATATAAAAACGTGCGAATATTGACTGTGTATCAAGGGTTAAGATCTCAACGGAAAATTCACACAATAAATTCCGCTTCAGCTTCCGGCGATACAGTATTAAATTTTTTTTTTATATCTTTTATAATTGATTTGGGGCACTCCAATAGTCACAGGGGTTCGTTATAAACGTCTTAAATACACATGTTATACTGACATGGGTCACATTAACATACACATACACTATGTGTACATGTACTATGACCCATATGATGGCCATTTCAGTATGGCATACATGTGAATAGACATTTGTAACGAATCTATGCGAATAGTCAACATATGCTATGTGTGCTGTGCATATTAGTTGCGCATACATGTAAATAGACATTTGTAATGAACCACTGTCGTTTATTAGTTTGTTGCACATATTTTTTAACCACAGTGAGACAAATAAAAGTAGTTTGTTTAGGATTTATACATGTTGTTGGTCCTAGCACAGGGGTTCGTTACAAATATCTGAAATACACATATGGTATACTTATATGGGTCACAGCACACATGCTCATGGTCTGCCTTTGGCTGTTGCCGGTGCCCTTAACAAGCGCGGTAAATCGGGGCGTAAATACAACAACGCGTGCTAACCGCGATGAAGGACGAAATAGACTGACTTCTCCAGTGAGGAAGAGGGGGACAGCGATATGTATTCAGAGGATTCCTCCGAAGACGAGCAGAGGCATCTCCGAAGGTGTGGAAGTCCTCAGAGACACAAGATGCCCACTCATTTCGGTAAGGAGAGATTGGAGCCCTTCATTCTTAAATTTGAAAGAATAATAAAAGATAATAGACGGTCGGACCGTAAGACTATACAGTGGATTTTTGATTGTCTGGATGGTGATGCGTTGGAGGACGCCGACAAACTTCTGCGAACTCTTGGGTTCACTAAGCTCAAGAAGAAGATGAAGGAACGGTCAGCGACAAGGACGTACCAGTGGTGGCCCGCAGAGAACTGCATTTCACTTAACAAGAGGAGAATGAGAGCTTAGAAGAATTTGTCCAGCGGATTCAAACCATAACTGGAGATGGCTTTGCACATTCCGACACCACAACGAGGAATCAGATGGCTACAGAGGCGTTCCTTAAAGGCTGTCGCGAGAAGATGGCAGCGCAGAGAGCTATGGAGAGGAATCCTAAGACGGTTCATAAAGCTCTGAATAACATAAAGGCCTCCGTGGCCAATCAGCGCGCTCTGTTTGGTTCTCGCGCGCCACATTACCCTAGTAGGCAGATGGAATTTGCTGATGGGACTAAGTACCGAGATGATAAAGTAGAGGAGGACACTGAAAAGATGAACGACAGGAGCTCAAGAAATCCCTGGTCCGACTAAGTGCGGTCGGGGTATCTGCCTGTCCATACTCGCCTCCACCTCGGGGTGACTACCGCTTTCAGGAACGCGACCGAGGTCTCCCTCAAAATTTTGAAGGGAATCCACCGCCAGATTATCGTAATTGGTATGACGGCTGACGCCGGGATAGGTCCCCATCTTCAGAACAAGGTCCCTCGCGAAACCGTAACTGGTCACCCGTATATCATGGGAGTCACCTGGCATGGGGTCACCAAGTCGAGGTCAAGGTCAACCTAGCCGGGACTCCTGGGAACCGGAGAGAGGCAACAACAGCCCTGTCAGTCGGATTAACGACAAGGGATGGAATACCCAGGTATACAATCTGAGGTCTCGATCCCGACAACAACAGCGAGGCGTTACGGATATATCAAGGTCTCCGTCACAGACACCGAGGAAAGACGTACCACCTTTGAGAGAGATGAAACTGGCGATCTCTGATGGCAGTTATATTATCATTCCCCTAACTTTAAATGGAACTGAAGTTGACTAGGGAAGTTTGTCAAATCTTCGTTAACAAGTTCCCTTTAAAGTGAAGTGCTTTTACATTCATTTAAACTATTTTTAGTCTTTCGTAACTCCTTTAGAGTGGCTTTCGCCATATGTTTTATGTATATTTTATTGTATCATTGTAAATATGTACGTGGAAGGTGCGACTATAATAACCTATCTGTATCTGAATGTTGGGCAATAACGGTCCTTTCATTTATATCAAATGCACACATATGTCGTTACTTAGCTTTATCACTATAATCCCCAGTTCTGATACGTCCTTCGTGATCCTTCTAGGGGGAGTTTTCACATTTTTGTCAGAGGTGAATAAGAGCCGTCCATCATGATTCAGGCAAGATCACCCTCGAAGATATACAATAATAAGGTATCGTCGGAATATAACCTCTTTTTCCCCCTTATCAGCAGGATGAAACTGGCATTTAAGAAAACAATTCTAGCAAAAGTAACTCACTTTCTGTTAATATTACTCTCAGGGTTTAAAACGTGTTCAATATATAAAACAAAATCCGGCGCCTTGTGAGATACATGTAGCAATCGGGAAAAGGCTTTGCATGATTAAACATGACATAAATATAAGTCAATGACAATGGATTTTAAATATTTTCATACCAATATACTGTACTTGTAATATCTAAGATATTTCATGACTTCAATTTTAACGTCATTTTCCGGACTGACTGAGACAAGGTACATTTATTATCTCTTTTGTTTGTGTGGTTATTGTTCTATGTCCAGGTTTCGGTGGTGGAGGAAAAACGGAGTTCCCGGAGAAAAAAACACGGTCAGTAGTTGGCGACTGCCCCAAGTAGGTCTCGAACCCGCGACCCTGTGGTGGAGGAGTTAGGTAATATCTGGTTTCCATCTCACTTTGTTCTGCTAGTTTTTTTTACAAGATCCCAAATGGTATGGATATCGAAACACGTGTTCAGGAACCGCAACATTTTGGTCAAAATGAATATTTACATTTTAGACACGGATTTGATTTATGTTACAAGGCGGTTGCTTCTGCTCCTGGACTATCAGCCCGAGAAGATGACCGTGACCTTGTAGATTGAATTTATTGTTCTTTTACGGTTTTCATGAAAGTATCTGTTGTAAGCCACAACTGTCAATTGCTGTCTTAGGTTTCTTTCAACTTCCGCTGTATTTCGTTTCCGTTTCGAAGTAGAATAGAAACGTATTGTCATTAGTTTAGCCTTCAAGATACCAAACCAAAACAAACCGAGCCTATAGGATCTGAGTCATACCTTCTACAAAAGATAATAAAACGCGAAAAAAAAACAAGCATACACAAATTAGTATATATACCTTAAATAAAAAAATCCTCATTTTTTCACCAGCAGTGTTACGCTGATTTGCTGATTTAACGATAAATATAAGGTAGTATGATAACTTCTTTTCTATAAGACAATGCGTTTCTTTTAAAACAGTTAAGATTTTTGTTTCGGGGATGGTTTTCACTTTGCTTGTTTTATCGTATTTTTCCGTGTTATATATCCGTGTTATTTTTAAACTTTTGCAGGAACAAAAATCAAATGAGATTCACTTGATATAAATGAGTAATAAATATAAATTTGGATTATTTCCCCCTATGTTACATATCATTGTCATTCAAGTTGCTTCAATTAACAGGAGGCGAATATGGCCTGTATCGCTCACCTGGATATATGAGCAATCACAGGTAAATGTTTTAAATAAAAGTAATTTTGCATTTTGCAAATATTTCCATATACGGAGTAACCTTGGCTTAGGAATATTCCAGACTAGCATGCCACTTGTCAAATATAATAACCCAGGGCCTACTGGTAATGAAGAAGAAGTTGAAAGTTTTGAAACGTTTGACGCTGTAAGAAGGTCAAGGTCATTTATTTGAGAAAACTTAGCAATCAATACCAGGTACCTACTGGCCATCTATCATTGCCCTGGGTCTCCTGCGTATTCAGAAGAAGTTGTTTGAAGGTTTTGATATATTTGATGCCCATGACCTTAAAGGTAGATCAAGGTCATTTATTTGAGGTAAGCTTATAGCACTCGTTTCGAGATACCTACTGGCGAAGTATCATCCGCCTGTGGGTCTTAGTTGAAAGTTGAAAAATGCCATAGCACTACATCCCAGATAACTACTGGCCAAACATCTCCACCCCGGACTTCCTGGTTATTCAGAAGAAGTTTTTTAAATGTATTTATATATTTCACTAGTGTGGCCTTGAAAGAAGGTCGAAGTCATTTATTTGGGAACCTTTGTAGCACTGTGTGCCAGGTGAGCTAAAATGGTGCAACAGTTACCACTTTAGCGACTTATATGGTGTCAAAAAGGTGAAATTTTGGAATGGCACGTATTAATTTTTAAATGCGTGTGTACTTTAAAGTATTTTCATACTGTGATCCTGCTACATTAGATCGAAACGATATTTGAACGTAATTAAACCCCCCAGAAGAGTCGATGATGAGTTCAAGAGAGTAAGATTATATACACAATGTTAGCCTTTTCTGTTATAGCAGTTAGAAGGGTTATAAGTATGCACGTTTTCCATTCACAGTATAAGACTACAGGTGCAACATATGTTGCAGGAAGTCAGACGGAACCGTCAGTTAACGGCTGGTGTTTGACACGTGTACGAGTGAAATATGATGTCAGATAATGAATATTAGGGTTAAATTAACAGAACGCGACAAAGCCACCGCTGCCAAAGGTATGTTTTCATTAACTGAATTCAAATATTTGTAAAACGATATTTCTAAAAGATGAACTGCGGTCATTGTGAATAGCCTTAATTAAATTGATATATTTATTGTAATCCTCAACTATAAACGTCAGTGTTAAAATTTAAAAAATATTCAGTGACAAAGATGCTGACCATGACAGGGTAACAATGCAAGACATCACGTCATTAAGAGTACCTATGCACCTTTCCTCTTTTCCTGTATTTCTACATCTATATTTTGTTAAACTCTTGACACACTGAGTGTCAAAATTATGACCTTATTGCCGCTGCTAAGTTTTGGTTTTGGTTTGGTTTGATCCTGTTTAACGTACCATTAACAGCCAACGTCATTTAATGTCGTTCCACCATGAATGTTGTGTAAGCGTACATGTGAGTATGTGGGCTAGAGGAAGGGTATGCTTGTGTTTTTACCTCCTTGTGATAGCGTGGATCTGATGCCGACGTTATAGTGCTATCTCACTGAAAAAAACATGACGGAAGGCACCAAACACAGTATCCCGCCTGGTCACATTATACTGTCAACGGGTGAACCAGTTGTTTCCATTTCCCTAGATGTTGACCGCTAAGCTAGGAATAACAACTTCCATTTTTAAGGACTTTGGTATGGGTCGGCCTGGGGCTTTTATGACCTTTGCTTAGTTATAGTCGCTAGCAAACAAATAATAGTTAGAATTAGCAAGAATCAGAAAGATTCCAAATATTGCAATGGATGCAGCAAAATCCCTTTTCATCGCTTTTTGTCCTCAAGTAGAGAGCACGAGTAGAGTGGACGAAATGGCCATACCGTGCACTAGATTGTGCTTTGTTTGACATTTTGCGTCGACTTACTAAATTTTGAAACAGTCGTTATCTTACTCTGTATTTTGAAAGATTAGGAAGTGTTTATCTTTGACATGTTTTTACTTGTTATACAGCTGTAAAATCGCTGTATTTTTAACGGAGTAGAATTTAGATGCTAACTTCAGTGTAAGATAACGATTATCACTCTACACAAATGACACGCAGAATTTTAAGTAACCATGTACTTAACAAACACATCATTTATAGAGGTTCCCCAACGAGTGATGGTTGTGTGTCAGGTCTATCCAACTCGAGTAAGGTCATTTCCGAATTGTATAAAGACACAATGTTTTTCGAGTGCTTTTAATCAAAATTAAATCATGAGAGTTAGGGGAGCTTTTCTCCCTCAGCGTACAGATATTATATAAAAACAACCGATAGTTGTTTTGGGAAAATATTGTTCCTGTTTCCGATTGGGGCAACAATTGCCATGAACCATGGCATTGAATTTGAAGATGATGACGCAATGCATGTTTACCTGACGTCATTATTAGAAGATTGACGAACAAAATCATATCCAGGGTTTTAACCTACTGGTGGGTAACCGAAAATAACTAACAACTCTTAGCAAATTTACCCAATGAGCCGGGAGCGAGGCTGTGGGAGAAATACTTCTCTGAATGTGTGTACAAGGTGCAGAAAATGTTCATCACATCAAGCTCTATGATATGTCTTAAATATTGATCTAAAAGGTAACTCTAATTGAAATGGATTATACACATTTTTAACACGCTCTGCTGGTACTGCATTTGCCCATACACATCGATTATCAAACTAGTTGTCGTCACGGTTCAGGAATATGTGTATCCAGGCGAGTTAATAGTGATGGCAGCAGATGTAACACCATATTTGTTTAGTAATAAACGAAGGCTTCTGGCTGTTTCCTTTTGTTAGTCACCCCTGCACGTTGGGGATCGAAAAAAGAAAGATATTTGCTGTTACTCAATGCATGAATTGGGGAGTTGCTTTTGTACCCTCTAGAAGGGGACACAAATGCGACCATTGGGAGGTTTCTATTTCTTTCTACTTCCAATAATCTTAAGTTTCCTAGCGCCTTGCTTGGCAATATCTCACTTTTGGCTTTAATGTTGAACGTTCTTCCAGGTGAGGAAGGCAATGGGTAATGTCCCCCAGGCTGGGACATTACGAAAGTCTTTAAAATGGTAGTTGTTATTCCCTGCTGAACGTTCAGCATTTGGGGTAATGACAACAAATGGTATTTCAGTGTGATAGCACGGCATCAGAAAGGAGGCAAATACACCAATTTGTCATCTTTAGCATACACACATATCTTCAAATATCGATATATCTAAGGTGAACGGGTGACGCAGTGGATATCGCACTTGCCTTTCCCCGAAGGTTTGAGGTAATTTAATTGTGTTAGTGTATGCGTGCTTGCATGTGTGTCTGCAGGAGACAGGGTATGTTGGTTGTGCTTGCCTCTTTACGATAGTGCGAATCTGATGCCGACTTTATAGTTATATCTCACTGAAATACCCTGTCGAATGCACCTAGCACAGCATTCCGCCCGGTCAGATTATACTGACAACAGGTGGACCAGTTGTTGTCATTTCCCTTAATGCTGGGCGTTAAGCAGGGAAAACAACTACCAACATGTTTAAGGGCTTTGTTATGTCCAAGCTTGGGGACAGAACACATTGTCCGATAGTAGGGATTGGGTAATCGAGAGATGTTTTGACTTTTGACTGTCTCTATGTATGGGGTCGATGTGGTAGTTAACGCTCTCTTATTAGTCGAAACCTTTGTGTATAGTGGATGTTAAGTTCATTTCATGTGGCACGAGTTGAGTTATATCATACGTGCATGCATATACTGTTCATTAGTCACCGGTGTACATATGGCGCTGTATACAATTATAGCGATATAAGACCTCCCAATTAACATACGAGTAGAGGTTTCATATGAAGAAATATAGCGCTTGTTCCAATGAAGGCGACTTGAACTCTTCATTTGGTTGTTAAGTCATGCCAAACCTAGCCGTTTTGACCTTAGGTAACCTAGGTAACCTAGTAACCGGGACCGAATATGACGATGCTTAATAAGGTAAACATGTATGTGTATCATATATGATATTAGATTTTTGATAATATTTCTGAGTTTTTAAATTTTATTATTGTGTAGTAATGGTGGTGATGATAGAACATTTATTGAATAGTTTAAAATACCAACATGAACATTTGTTTAACAGCATTTTTAACAAAATTATGTCTTCAGGAGAACTCGGGTTTTGGGTAATTACTGCAAGCCACACCAGCGTGACGAATCTTTTTAATAATTTATAGAGATGTTGTAATTTTTATTATTTTAACTGTTGTTGAACGGAGAAGGCAAGTAATGCCTCAGAACGGTACGCTTTTTCATATATTTCAATACACATTAGAGAAAAAAACATTTGTTAATTCCACACAAATAGACTTGGATATTACTTATTTTAGTGAAATGAATAAAAGTGGGGAAGTGGGGAAGGGTCACGATTTCAACTGACATCTAAAGCAATATTTCAACGAAACAAATATTTAAACTATCCTAGTTAGTCGTGACCGTGACAGTCTGATTGACACTTGACATAAATTGGTTGTTCACGTATACACGTATACATACATATACTTAAACTATACTGCCCGGTGTTTTTACTAATCAGGTGATCTACGTTCGCGATTATGAGAAAACAAAATTGAATGAAAGTGTATGCGTGCTCTAATACTACACCAAACTCAGATGCAAAAGATATTTGGTGAAACTTTCACTTTTAGACGTTGATATGTGGATATGTAACGTTACATGGGATATTAAGTATACGTGTTTATACACATATAGGAGGAATACATGCGATTTATCAGCAGATTTCAGAACATTTTAGTAGATAATGTATAAAAATATGACTCTTAAAAGTCACATAATTAAACTGGCTCTTACGTCATCTTTTGTTTCAAATCAAGTAATATATGGAGTTTTCATTTTGTGTAACCGCTGTGCTATATGCGTATCTTACCTACGTTCCTGTCGTAAAAGAATCGTCCTCCGGTGTATTTTTTAATGTAAATAGTGATTTGTCTTCTTCCTGTCTTCAATCTAAATTGGTAGAGAATTGTATTTAGTATGTAGTTTCATGCCAAGAATCACACTGTCAGACGCGTCCTTTGAAACAAATCAGAAATATATAGAAGGGGTGTAGGCTCCTGAACCCAAGCTACGTGTCATCCTGACGTCACAAGTACCACTCGACCTGTTTGCTCATTAACATTCTCGCCAGTAAGGAGCGGTCATCTTTGATCGCCTTTATCTAGGTAATGGGACACTTCTGAACGCGCTTTGATAGATGATTCTGTCTCTATTTAAGTATATTACAGGCTTCACGTATTTTTACAAAATGTTTAAATTCATGGCCAAAATCCTTTAACGACAAAACGTTTCGTACACACCCACTCTTCTGAACTGATACTCTCTCCTTTGAACCATGATATGACATGATTTATGCTGATCCATAATTTCTGAACAACATTTTGCAAGGAATTGAATGTTAAGATATATAATAAGCATGTATAAATACGTCATAAATAACCCTATTTGAAAAAATCATCTTACAAGTTTTCTAAAGGGTACCTGTGCCTACCCATTCAAGTACACTTAATGCTACTTGTTCCATTTTGTTTCTAGTATCATATCAGTTTTATAATCATGACCGTTTTCTTCCCTTAATTTTTAAAATTAATCATATATGTATCTCCTCTTCGCTATAATCTCCACGATGATCCGACTTTCAATTCTTGAAATATTGTCATGGTTTACTTTGGCCTTGCAGCTAGCGTATCCTGCTTGGCAGCAACACATTGTTTTTCGCTCATGTACCCGTTGTGTACCGCGGGAAGTCCTCATGGGCTATTCACCCTGATTCCAGCCAATGAGAGCATACATACTGCTAATTCACCTAACATTTTTTCCACAATTTGAAGCAAACATGGACATACAACCTAGCCTACATCTTGCATTTATATGCTACAGTGCGTATACATGTGTACATTGACATGTGGGGAAAAGGCACCCATGTATTGGCAATGAAAATATATTAAAATAATACCCATATTTAGTTTGTACTGTACTAACCGAGTGTAAGAATGAGTAAATGTATAAGAAAACACGTATTCACACAAAAGACTTTTTTTTAAATTTCTCAACTCACGGACTTTCATTCATATTTACGTAAAAGATAAACTGTCACACACTCACACTTGCTGCGGAGGTTAGACTGCACTTCGCGCAAAGAACCAGTTTAAACATCTCACCAACGAGTTGTCATATTAAGTCGTTGTTTTGTACAGTATACTCATGTTAAGAGAACCCGGACTAATTTTGAAAAAATACCCATTTTCTTTGAAATAATTTGAAGCTATGGTATATGGTTCTTTTTCTTTGCTTGTTACTTGTAGAATATGTTATTTTAATACAAATTTCAACATCATTGACGTCACCCTTTTCACCAAATATTGCATGAACAAACAACAGATGTTTGTATTAGGTCAATAACCGGTTATAAAACACCTAAGCTGAAGCACCATTGGAGCATAAGATGGGAAAACACGAAGTGGGCAATCTACCACCATAAACCTGTAATGTTAAATGTGATCATATACATTATACGACTGTTAAAACCTCCTGACAAATAGGACATGATGGCTACCGTATATATTTGCTGATATATTACCGTGTTGGTTCACCTCTGTTCACCTCTTACCAGGTGATTTGGCTAAAGCTTACGATGCATTTTTAAGAAAAAATAGATATCGAGCTGTTACGTTACGTATTTCCTTTACGGAGATAATTTGGTTAGGTTTTATTTCGTGTAACGTCCTATTGACAGTTTAGGTCATTTAAGGACGTGCCTCATTGTGTGTTGTGTAAGCGTGCAAATGTGTATATGTGCCGGAGACAGAATATGTTGGTGTACGTCACAAAGATAGTCTTTTAAAACGGTTATACAGTGTTTTCCAAATAATATCAATGTAGTAATATTGTGAATATAAAAAAACGAAGATGAGTAAAAAATAAAACAATATACAATGTCGATAAACAATTAAACAGAAGCATTATAAATTTGCAAACAAAACACCCATTAAAACTCCGTTATCCTAAGCTAGAAAAACTTAATGTCGTTAAAATAAACTTTCAAAATTCGGTTTAGTCACTTTACAACTAATACGGTTAAAATACCCATGTGTGTTACTGTCGGTAGAAGTAATTTCTAATCTTTATATGAATTGTTAAGTTTTAAATGTCGATATTTTTCACATTATTTACACTGTGTTGAAATTCTGTGATACACAGTCGATAAGATAACCATACTTTGAACAAACGTATCCTTTTGCTTTTAAAAGGTGAGTATTTTCTATAACAAGTGTTACACACGGATTGAGCTTGATGTCTACCGTCAAATTTAAGAACGGATGCGGTTTTATTGGTTTATTATGGTTCTAGCTCTGACATGGACCTCTTACAGAATCGAGTGTTTTTTGTTTCTTTGTCTTCTGCTGAAGAAACTATAATAGGTCTGCTGCCACATTGCAACATTTGGGCTCAATTTATATTCTTTTCTCGATTGATTGATTGATTGATAGGTTTTTCGTCCGCTTCACTACCGAGTAGTTCGGTTATCCAGCAGACGAAGAAAATAAAGGAAAATGAGTAGAAGGGATAAAGTATGGAGTAAAGAGTAGAAGAGGGGGACAGGTTAGAGAAGGAGCCGTCTATCCTATATGTATTAACTGTATAAGTAGTTTTTGTAAGACGGCTCCTATGCCTAAAAATGCCCTAACCTAACACTCGTCTTATAGTATCACCAAGTCTGTACTGGAAGGGAGGTACTGTGCCACCGCCAGCTACACCAGCCCCTGCCTATTCTATGAATTTTGGTTTATATATATAATTAGAAGTCCTTCTAAATGTCTTAATAAAGAGACCCTAGTTTTATCGGCCGAAAATTTGGAATAAAGCTTACACTATCCTCTGTGTCGGAGCATACGCGCCTACTCTTTTCCGAAAAATTGGACAGTTCTCACACGGGCCACCATTTATAGTCCCATCCGACGGACTGTTTGTTAGTGGTTAGAGTCATGCATTAGCTGTTTTGTTGTTGTCCGTTCAAGGTAATCCTTTCTACACCATTCGTCACTGAAAATATGGCTGACTGAACTTTACCAATGTCATATTTCTTAGAAACCTCGTCTTGTCTTAAACTTAATTCTGTTCATCGTTCCAAAATTTATGATTTTTAGTTTATAGTGTGATTATTAGTATGGGTAAAACAGAACAACGGGAGGGGGGTGATTAGTGTTATAGTTTGGTTGTAACCTGGATGGGAGCTGGAGGGGTTAGCGGTTGAGATGATTGCTGGGTGTCAAAGACATGTACAGATGGATTTGTGTTGGCAGGATGTTAACCCCAAACAAACAAACAAATAATTACGCTGTGTTAGACATCATAATAACATAATAAAGATAAATAAAAATCGCTACTTATTGTCTTGTTTTAAGGATACATTGTTTTTAATTTTTCTTTTGATAGATAATTGATTGAGAAATACTGATACGTGTTGTCTTTAACGAAAGTGACACTTCAAAAGAAGATTTGAACTTCGCTCGTGAAAACCTCGTCACGTCTGTCATCTCCATTCTCGGACCAGCCTGTACAGGATATTTACTGAAGAATTCTGAAGAAATGAAGATAATTGCAGCTTTGTGTTTGGTTACCTTTGTGTGTAAGTTGAACATTTTCCCTAACCTTTACGGGTTTTAAGTTGCATACAATTTCTCAGTTAACGTCATTGCAACATTCACTTGATACTATTTTTAAATGCACTGAAACATGTCAAAATTTGAAAATGTAAGTATAAATGGGATTTCATTTGTAAATTTTAAGTAAGAATAGCCTCGGGGGCAAAACATTCTGACACGCGATAATTACTTATTTAACAGTATGATAAAGATCTGAAAGCTAAGTATTTAGTAGTGTTGTTTGTTTTTTAACCAGAGTGTTGTCCGTATAAGTAGATATTTTTTTTGTTTTTTTTTCTCTTCCTAAAAAATAGCCATAAGAAACCTTCACAGTCAAAATCCAAGATGGCTGTCTGCTGGCCATTTTGTTTATCCGATCGGTCCCAAAAATTAACCCCGCACAACTAAGGACCATGGGAAACATACATATACAATTTGAGAAAGATCCCTCCAGCATTTCCTGAGAAATAGTGATAACAAACATTTAATGTCACAATCCAAGATGGCTGCCTGTCGACCATGTTGTTGATCCTATCAGTCTCAAAAGCTGCCCTGCACAACGAGGGATCTAGGGGAACCTATATATATATAAATTTGAGAAAAGTCCCTCTGGTTCTTCCTCAGAAATAGCGATAACAAGAATTGTTTAAGGACGGACGGACGTACCACGGACGCAGGGCGATTTGAGTAGCCCACCATCAGATGACGGTAGGCTAATAAAAATAGTAATACTTCCCATTTAGTTTCTGAAAAGTGACTACAGTGTATAATCAAACAATAGCTGCATTTCTTATACAATATCAGCACGTGTGTCTATTTATAGAGCACACTTAGTTGCGTTTCGTTTACCTCGACATTTATTTTTGGTTCCCAAACTGAACGCCTTTTGAAAAAATTCAGTTTATGAAAATAATTGATAGCATTAAAAATAGATTTCTACATTTTAAGACTATTGTTACGCACTCTAATAAATATAAGCCATGTGTTCATTAAATTATTTATTAAACAACATTTGTTTCTTGTAAAAAGTGATAAAATATCGATATTGTTGCATTGTTCCTTTTCCAGGTGTCTGTTCGCTTATGCGGAACTACCGTTGACCGTTTATAAATGTAACAATTTCGGGTAAAAATCTTTGCGGACCTGCAATTTTTATACAGGCCTTGCAAGGCTTTGTCAAGGCTCGCCTGAAGGCAGCATCAGATTACTAGGTCCGAACTTATTTAATACACGAACAACTGTGGTCCGACCGGTTTAACCGTTTAAACGAAAACGACCTAATTGTTGTTTTTACGTGCTTTTTATGTAATTTTCAATTGAGTTTATTAACAAAATACAACAGGGAGGCAAGAAAATTTGCTCCAATCCCTTTAAACATTTTTTTTTTAACGTCATATTAATAGCGAAGGTCATCTAAGGACGTGCTTCCATGTGTGTATGCATGTATGCGTGTGTGTGTGCCGGAACATGTTGGTGTACGTGAAACAATATGAATTTAATTAAAAAAAGAAACCCTTCAATTTTTAATAATGTAAAGTAAAAATACTGCATCACATAGATGAAAAGAGTTATTATGGGTACCAATACATTTCGGCTAACATCATTTTAGGACGACACTTTATAACCAAACATTAAAATTGTTTCTTTTATTAGATGATTTGATGTCGTATGGTATGACATCGCTGTAATATAATTCATATTAATTTCGCAGATTGTGACAGCAATTCCGAAAAAGTAACACGAAATGTTCATTTGACCAAGAAAAGAATAGTAAGTTGTAAATATTGGTGTTGGTTGTGATGGATTTCAATATATTTTCGATTAATTTATGAAATTATACAATAACAGGTTAAAACATTTCATTTTAAATAAATAGTTGACGTGTTTGAACAAAAATAAACGAAAATAATGAATAAATATTGGCAATACCAAACATACAATTGTACATGTTCATCGGACATTTCAAAATGCACGAATGTAATGCGAGTCGGACATATTTCACAATGGTGTTAGCCCGAGTGAATTATATCCTTTATTAAAATGGACGAGTGCAGTCGTATCTATGTCAAATGAACATATACGTGAGGTATTACTTATATAACATACTTACAATTATCATTGATGTAAACCATATTTTCTGCTAATATTTCCCTTCATCATCCCGTATTAGAGATCGATTCGCATCCTTAAAACACTCGATTGGATCAAGACTCACTAACGTCTATGATGGAATGATAACGTCACGGAGTCGGAGCGTTATATGGCGCTTAAATGTTTGCTTCAATTCGTTGATTTGAACAATGGGTTCTAGGCAAAAAGGACATCTGGCTACTTAGGTAGTACAACACACTGTAATCACGGTGTAATATAAAAGACCATATATGCATTCCCTAATCACCGGCTTAATTACTATGGTAAGATTCATTAGGTTATGGTTTGTAACTAATTGTATGATCATATGCTCGTATTGTGTTCAATATTTGTATATTGTTGTATAAAAACGCTTCCGATCATCATATAAACAGTTTCACTTTTTTTTTTCATTTTTGAAACATGATCTTTATTTATAAATATTGCACATGACTGATAACCATTGCAGCGTGTAAACAGGTGAGGTCACTTAAGGACGTGCCTATGCGTGATTACGTGTGTGTGAAGGATGCAGGATATGTTGGTGTATTTGCCTCCTTTTATTAGTGCGGATCTAATGCCGACTTTATAGTGCTATATTTCTGAAATACCATGCCGAAGACACCCAGCACAGCATTCCGCACGGTCATATGCTACTGACAATGGGTGGACCAGATGTTGCCATTCCCTTAAATGCTGAACGTTAAGCAGTGAATAACAACTACAACAGAAAGCGCTTGAGTGTAAACCATGATTAATTAAAGTTATAGTCAGATCCTGAGCTGCAAGTCAGTAATTAATTGAATCTTCATGTTGAGGATAATATAAGAATATTGATGTGTTATGAAACGTATTTGTTAATTACTTCCATGGTGAGATTGGCCAAAAGAAATCCTCTGATTCCCCTGCGATGTGTTTTCATCAAACTTTACTATATATAGGGGATACCTGCCATCTATCAACACAGTATTTTCATATACTGTACATGAAACCAGTCCTGCACCTGGTTTCACTTGTAGTCTGTCATTAACAGGCCAAGCACTTCTCTACGTAGTTGCGTCCATGTGATACCATTTCGTCACCTCCAGGAATGGATATCGTATTGACAAGATGTGGGACGTAACTGAGGAAGTTGTGCTCAAGTTTGACATCATTGGCACGGATTGTGTCGCAAACAATCGGCCTCGTGATTCAGGGTGAATCTATTGAAATAATCATTGATATCAACTTTAAAAAACATTTCATTGCAATAAAATTAGATGTCACTACTGATGATGAATGGAATTATTCTTAATTAATCAACAAAAGAATATTTTTTTTCTAAAAGTTCCACAACCAAAAATGAAACTGTAAATTACTGAGTTAGGAACCTTTAATCAATTGTTGAAACAGTAACAGTGATTTTCAACGGGTTATCTTCATGGGAAGGTCAATACCATATCCAGGGATTGATGTCAGAAATATGTTTATGAAGTTTCGTCAAGATTGGTTGAAAACCTTTTGTCCGACAAACAGATATGATAATATCAATGTATGCTCCAAAAGAGTCCGCAAGTCAAAGAACATGTATAACATTTCGTGAATACTAGACATAGTATCTATCAGACACACGAGTTTAGCCGAGATGAATATTTCCCAAAGTCTCTAACATAGGTGTTGAACTACCGAGTGCGATTTAACAAGTCCGGTGCTCTAGCCATTGGAAAAGGGAAATCCCCAAAAATAAACGAATAAAAACGATCACATTTCCCTCAGCCTTTTTGAAAAACCTTTTCTTTTATGCATGATCTTGCTTCCCTCGTAAATGATATTTGATATGTCTTCTATGTTACAAAATATCTGATTGGTTAACTCAAAATACATGACCGGAAATTAAAACATTGAGCACGTCTCACACAATTCCCTGTGTGTGAGATAGAGCTGTCCAGGGTAAGAAAGAGGTGTAGGAAATTTCTATATTATACCCAATTTCACGTGACGTGACGTCATACTGGTTGGACAATGACGTGACATCACGAAATTTGACCTCTCTGATGCCGCAATGCGGAAAAGGCGACGTGATGAAATTAAAACCTTTTACGATATATTACGCAAACATTGTTTGCAAATAATGAATATGCTAAATATGGCTGGCTGATTCGTTTCCGTCTAAAAAGCTCAAGAGGGACATCAAAACTCACCTCTTCACGTCTGCATTTTAGAATCTTTGCAAAGACGTCATGTAAATACTACCGTTTTATTTGTTCAATCATGTGCACATTGCTTGCTTAAATGTATAAAAGTGGGTGGAAGCCTTTGATTTTTTGTTTTCACAATTATAACAATTACTATTATCCATATGTTGTAATGCGCTTTAGAGTCATTTCACAAAATATTTATGGCGCTGTATAAATGTTGTTTATTATTATCATATTATTATTATGGGAAAATTGATATTTTCAAAGTGGTGGCCAGTCCAAACGCATTTTCATGGTTTCTGAGATTATTCTGGTTGTTTAAATGAGAGAGAAAAAAAATACTTTTCATACCCAAGGGTGCAGGATAGGGAAATCCCACCATCGGGATATTCATATATGACAAAACCCTCGGGAATTTCCCTATTCTTAAACCCCTGGGCATGAAAGAGTCTTATACTATTTCGGTTTTATAACATTTTTATTGCCTTTGTTTTATGGGGAATAGTTCATGATTTACCTACTTGCCAGCCCTGGAGGTCGGAGATCGATAACAAATACACCTTACTACTACTACCTATTGCATGTATCGTAAGAGGCGACTTATATGGGAACCCCCTGGCTTTGCGTAATCTATTTTGGTACACAAAGTCGATCGAAATATATCTGCTGTACCCATTGCCAAATTTGGAATCTTTATTTTTCTCTACTTCTACCCGCCTTTTATTTCCTAACGCATTGCTTAGCAGTACCTCACTTTGGCTTAAGTGTTAAACGTTTGCCCAGGTGAGGAAGCCGTTTGGTTCTGTCCCTAGGCCGGGACATACCATGGTCTTTAAAATGGTAGTTATTCCTTGCTTAGCGTTCAACATTTAAGGAATTGGAAACAACTTTTTCACACGTTGTCAGTATAATGTGACCGGGCGGAATGCTGTGCTGGGTGCATTCAGCATGGTATTTTAGTGAGATATCATTATGAAGTCAGCATCAGATCCACGCTGTCACAAGGAGGCAAATACATAAACAAACCCTGTCTACAGCACGCAAACACACATGCAGGCATACACAAACCTCATGGAGGCACGTTCTTGAATGACCTTGATGTTGACAGGACACCAAAAATATAAAACCAAACCATTGACACACATGCAAGATGTTCAGTGAATCCTCGTTATTTTCCTCTGATTTGTCGTGCCAAACTTTAGCATTATAAAGCGATAAGACGACATTTTGGTAAATATGTGTAAAGGAATCAAAAGGACAATCGAAATGTGTTGACGATATTTTGAAACAGGCATGTAACGGAATTGTAGCGATAAGTGGTACCTTTAAATTCAATAGCTGGGCGAGTTGCAAAATTAAACAAAGAGCACTATACCACATTTTTACTCTGTTGTCACGGTATGAAGAAAATCCTGAATGTAAGTTTTTCCCTTATATTACCAATGTACAATGTACAGATACAAATGCAACATATGTTTTTTTTTTCATTCCACGATGACCACGAAGAGTACTAGGATTATCAATGGAAAGGATGCGGATATAAGAGATTTCCCATGGCAGGCATCACTTCGGACTGTCGAACCCCTTCGTCACATTTGTGGCGCTGCTGTCGTGTCGGCTAGAGTAGCCGTTACTGCCGCGCATTGTTTCTCTCATTCCAAAGACCCGAAGTAGGTAGATCAAGAATAAACATTATTGGTGTTATATCGATTCAAACATCGATCTCCCTACAAATACGTAACAATTTTGGACATGCGTGTTGACAGTTATAATCTTATTTCCATCTGGCTTGCTTACTTCGATATTGTTCTCTTTGATTTTAATTTCTGCGCACAAGATATTGATATCGTTCAGTCCATGTTCATAAACATGTTTTACTGTTAAAGGGGCTATTAAGTCAAATGACAACCTAAAAACCGAGTCGATAATAAAAATATAAATATCCCAACGAAAGTTTACGTAGTTGATAGTTACATGACCTGAAGCCAACATCCAGTGTGGTCAGTTTAATTTTTTGGAAAAGCCGGTGATCAAAACAGCTAAGACCGAAAAAGAGCAATATCCGGACCTTTCCATGTGAAGTAAACATGTAGAGCAGTACACAATACGGTGTCAGTTATGAGTCTGAGTTCACACCTACTGCATTCCTGTCGCTTTGAACGTACACAATACATCGTAAGAATTATAAGCATCACACTATATACATCTACTCAGATATTTCTGTTCACAGTTGGATTTGTATAAAAAACAAACAGGTTTAATGAGAGCATGCACGCACTGAGAGGGTGTCACAGGGACATTTTCAAACCACAGAAAGTACGACATCAACAGGTTTATACGTAAAATAGATTACTCATTTATATCGATGAATGAGATGTTGTTTGGAAAATGTTTTTGATTCAGAGTAATTAAACATCAACTATAGTTACTGGGTAAATAAATTATAATAACGATGTTTCATTAGCTTCGTAAGACAAACAGCTACATAGATCTCCACTCCAATCAATATATAAACCATATAACATATGATAATAAATAATTTAGAAACAATATTTTGGTAAAAATGTTTTAATTATGTAATAATATTCCTCCGACCAACTTCACACAATTGCTTCTTTCTTCTTATCAATAACATACATGAAGTAACACTCATAATGAGTTAGATTTGGTTTCATAGGATTTAGCGTCTTTAATACATGTTGTATATGAGTTCATTTAAGGATTAGTCATATGTGTTTAATGTATGCATGTATGCGTGCTTGAGGCGGTACGTTTGTGTATTTGCCTCTTTGCGAATGCACAGATCTAACGCAGACAGTATTTCGCAATCTCACTTAAATCCCATGTCGAAAGCATCCAACACAGATAACTCAAACCGGTCACATTAGTTGGTCAGCTAGTTGTTGCGATTACCCGAAATTCTAAACCATATAAAATATCATTTTCTGGACTTGGGTATGTCCCGGCCTGAGACAGACTCAATCACCTGTCCCACTTTGGCAAACTTCAACACTTTGACATAATGGGATGTATCACCGTGCACAGCGCTTGTCTCTTTTTAGGGGATGCTTTCATGCAAGATATCTGTTCAGAAACATTAGGCTTTTATGTGTAGTAGGAGTTTTACCACAAAACAAACAAACGATTGTCAACCTATCAGGAACATATGTAAAAAAAGGGTGAACGTTGTTTTCCTTCGCGTATGACCTATAACTGGCTGGAGAAAAGACTAAGTTTGATTTAATAGTTATGTATTCAATGTTACTCTCCCCTTGACGAAGTCTTACGAATTCTTACGAAATGTATTTACCTACTGAATATTAAGGTTTCATGTTTGTTTCGTTTCCTGAGACATGCGAAAACAAATACGTTTCGGATTATTTGTGTTAAATTAAATTTTTCCATTGCATTGACAAATTTCTAATAATGGCTTAATCATGATTGACATGGTTTTTGATTAAAATGCTGCTATTTGATGAATTTGCAAATTAAGTTTCATCATCAACATTATTGACAAGGAAAGTAAGTTTTAAGATGTGTTGTTAGGGTAACTGTTCCGCTGAACGCTGCTCTTTTTCTTTTCAGTCGGATGAATCTGGCATTTTCATTTTTCTTAAATAACAAAAGTTATTAGCTGTTGGGAAATACATCGCCCAGGTCGTGAAACAATGTAAAAGATATAAAATCATAAGAGTAAAAACAATTAATTTTCCTACGTGTCGAAAAAAAAAGATAATTCTTTATAATTTCAAGTATGCGTGGACAGGTACGATGTAATGGTGACGTCCATGTTTAAACGTGGTCGAACAAGCTAGCAGACAGAATCGGCGAGAAAAAGGAAGAAGCTGGAAGATGATCAATCGAGCAATAAAAGCGAAAACATACATGTGTTGTGGCTTAGATCGATAAATTACACCACGGTTGTTTGTCCGCCCTACATGGTTGTGAAGTTGCAAGGCACTAACTTAACCAGTAAGAACTGTATCGTCTAAGAGTAACATTGAATACGTCCATTGTGTCAATAGTATCACCTACCCCTTCGAAGACATAGTCGCCATTTGTTGGATTCTGCTCTCATGACATATCGTGATTTCTCGTATGCATTATACGAATGACGTAAGCATGGTTTCAATCCCGATTCTAGTTCGATAAGTATCAGGCAGAAAAAAAGGCTTCGCATATATGTCTTGACATAATCCAAGTTAATCGAATTTTGAATACTTACAATCCGGTATACTTATAATGTTTATGAAATTTTATGACTTCAAAACTTTGAAACGTTTTTCCAAAAGTTTAAGACACGGTAATTTTAATAAACAAAGTCATGGTTCACAAACTCAACATGTGAACACAAAACTTTCAACTTCCTATCGATGAATATGTTTCACATATAAAAGCAATTTGATTGCATTGACCTATTGAAATCTTTTATTCATGTTGCTTATCCAATCAGAAAAAAATCCAATGATATTGTCATTTCAACAAAAATAGATAAGATGTAAGGCTTGGTAAAAAATATTATCTTTAGTCAAATGCTTATTTTTCTTTCAGGAGTTATTCACTCGAAGTTGGATCAAGCAGACTTTCTGGAGATACGGGAACTGTCGTTCAAGTAACTAAAATTACCAAAGTAAGTAAAAATAGATGACAAATTCCAAAACGTTTAAGGTACACTGGGATATCAAGGTGACAAAAATTGAAGTGGAGATAAAGAAAATAAAAGTTAATACAACATTTTTTTCTCGGTAGATTTTAAAAGTTTCAGTCCATCCTTTAATTTGAGTTTGTTGGCAAAGTGTCGAATACATGATCTTCTAATCTTTTTTTTTTTAATTTTTTTTATCAAAAACAGTGAACCAAGGCTAAATAAGCGTATTTCCTCTATGTTGATATATCACAAGAAGATATTAAATTGCAGAACTGTTTTGAAACTGCATCAAAACGTAGAAGATGGTATATGGTATAACACCAGGCACAATGACAATGTGCAATGAATGAAATATCAAAACATGCCCATACCGTAAGGTTACAGACAAGTGAAATTCATGCCTAATTATGAGAAACATCGATAGTACAGTAAAAACAGATATTCTTCTCTATTTTTGTAACATCTGTTTATCCGACAGCATCCAAACTTCAGGAAGGTCTATTACACAAACCGAAACGACATAGCAATCCTTCAGTTCGACCAGGATATAGCAGGGACGTCTGATAAATTAGCCACAGCAGTTGCCATTCCAACGGATGACGAAGACTTCAGTGGTTCAGCATGTAATATTACCGGATGGGGCCGGGTCAACGCCCAAGACGAATGTTAGTATAGAAGAACCTGATGTCTTTCACAAATATACATTTTAAGCTCACAATATTTTACTATATCCGCCTTTGTTCGTAATCCATTGTACGTGGTATGTTGTCGTTTTATTTTTGAATTTCAAACTCGATTAACTGTGCCTTCGGCATTGTATTTCAGTGAGATAGCCCTATAAAGTCCGCATCAGACCTGCGCTATCACAAGGAGTCAATTACACCAACAAACCCGACCTCAAGCACACAATACACATAGAGGCACGCCTTAAATGATCTTAGCCGTTGATATGACGTTAAAATTATATAACCAGCAACAACAAACCATTTTGAGGCGATATGAACATGATGACTACTATCTTGAAAATATGTTTTAAATGATTCTTGTCAGTTTGCTTAATCAGCTTCAAAGGTCAAGCGGTCACTGTTAAGAAAAGGTTATATGAAGACGTATGCAAAAGGAGACATCGCCAAAAGGAGAATCCAATTAAAAAGAGGTATCTCATGTGGTGCAATGGGCACAGTAGAACACTTTTAATTCGGCGTTTGGTTAGGTTTTATAGCGTTGAACGTCCTATCAGCAACTAAGGTCATTTAAGAACATGCTTCCATGTTTGTAATGTATGCATGCATGTGTGTATGTATGCTGCAGGCAGGGTATGTTGGTGTGTTTGCTTGTTTGTTTGTTTGTTTGTTTGACTTTGTTTAACGTCCTATTAACAGCTAAGGTCATTTAAGGACGGCCTCCCCTGTGTGCAAGATACATGCGTGTAGTGTATGTGTGTGTATTTTGGGAGGCTGCGATATGTTCAAGTTTGTCTCCTTGTGATAGCGCGGAACTGATGCCGACTTTATAGTGCTACCTCACTGAGACATGCTGCCGAAGACACCCAGCAGGACGCCCCACCCGGTCACATTATACTGACAACGGGCGAACCAGTCGTCCCACTCCTAATTTGCTGAGCGTTAAGCAGGAGTAGAAACTACCATTTTTAAAGACTTTGGTATGTCTCGGCCAGGGGACAGAACCCAAAGCCTTCCTCACAGGGGCGAACGCTCAACAAATGGCCAAAAGTGAGGCATTGTCAAGGGAGACATTAGGAAGAAGAAAGTTATTTAGAAAGGAGAGAAGAGATAAGGTCCCAAATTTAGTCGCCTCTTACGATCATGCAATTGGGGGCAGCAGGTACAATTCTTACGCCCTACCTGCAGGGACAGGTGTGTTTGCCGCCTTGCGATAGTTACCCATGCAGGTCAGGGATAGAGAGAATAATACATGCTGTGTACCCAGAGAGGTGACTTATTTGGGAACCCCTGCTTAATTGGGGACAGTACCTTATGTGCAAAGCCGACTTAATCGAATGTTCAACACTAAGACCAAAAGTGAGAATTTGTTAAGCAATGTACCAGGAAAGAAAAGGGTTTTGAGGAAAAAAGAGCAAATATGTAGATCCCGAAGGTTGTAAATGGGACAGTAGATCAATTATGGCTTCCTTCAAAATTCTCTAAGCAGCAGACGCAGCATTAGTCATATTACTCGCCTTTTACATCAGCTGTGAGATACTTAACGTTATCGTCTTGTTGCCTTTTTCATATATAAAACACTTCCTTTTTTATAAACATATTTGATTAATCAGGCAGTCGTGGGTTGTCTGGGGGATGAGTTGCCCCAGCTACAACAAACAATACATTTTATTTTCTCATTTTCCTTATGTCTTGAAATAATTCATTTTTCATGTCATGTGCATTTTTTTCGCACTCTTGTTATCACGGTTTTGTAGTGGAAAAATGTTTTCCGGAAATTTGATCCAGTTTCCGGTTTAAATAGTATAATATATGATAATAATTATAACAATAATTTGAAACCACAGACACACACACCAAACCACCCACCGAATCACACCATCTCTTGCACTCGCACAAATGTGTATATTTATACTGAACTCTTATACACATACGTACTTATATACTCATCAATTCATCACACATTTCCATACTTTTATAATTAAATACATGTCACCGTTAGATAATATATGCAAACAGTATGTAAATAGATTCGGTTAAGTTGTTTGCATCTGTCTCTTTTTATTTTGGAATTATACATCCAACGTTTGCTTCCGGTTTACGTACTACATATGGTTTTGTAAGTAAAAGTTTACGATTCTTGTAAAAGTGTTCGATATTTTGATATTATCAAACTCTTACTATCTCCTGGTGTGATTTTAATGTATATTGATATATTTTCTTTTACTGGTTTCTCGATGATTCGAAATGCTGATAAGGGGGTAGTTGTTTTGTTCTGAAATGTCTCTGTTTTTTGCCTTTCAAATGACCTATTTAGTTGTACAATACGTGTTACTGATACGTTGATTAACATAAAAATGCTATGAATGATTATGATACCTTAATAAATGTGTCAAGCCCCCACACAACTATTTCAACTATTACTTAGAGGTTTACTTCTTTTTCAGCAAATGAAATTATCGATATCGATATATCATAATAGTTTAATATATAGACCCTACAAAAACGGGGTTTTCCTTTTGTCTCTTAGAGAATATGGAATAAACCAACATTGATTTGCGGTCCCCATCGCAACACTAAGTATCTTTTTCGTGTTCTATCTTTCCTGTCGACTCTCAATCTCTTTCTATCCGGCGGTGTCTCCTAAGTCAGCCGCCATCACATGAACATCGTTACATAATATAATGTATATTTCAGTATCGTCCGACCACCTGCAGAGGGCTTTGACTGTTGTAATTACTAAGGATGAATGCAAGAACATATCTAAATATGATTGGATCTTGGACAGCGAAGTGTGTGTGTATACCGGATCTGACGGTGCTTGTTATGTAAGTAGGCCCTAGTTCACTATTGTTATATTCAGTTGGGAGCTAACTTAACCTAGTGCATTTCAGTGCACAAGCTTATGCAATAGAGTTAACTACAATGTACCATTCTCTTTATCATAATGATCTTCTGGTTATCATCATTTAGTACATATTGTGAATTTCTCCCCGCCCCTCTGCTTAAAAAAATGTTTTTTCCCCCCATACTTAGAGAGTATCAAAGCAGTATCCTTAAAACATGATTTTACATACTTATCTAATTCTATGCTTAAATGAAAGTTATTCTTTTTAAGTATATATGCGTAAATATATTTAAATAATGAGCGATAACTTGTTGAATTATAAATACATTTAATCACATGCCATTGGTGGTTTCACATGTGTAGCTTCCTATCTCATCGATTTATTAATTAAAGTGCATTTATCAAAAGTCAGTTTTTGTTATACATATTATATGTATACAAATATGGTTGAATTATATATTAATTTATATTGATGAAAATGAATTGATACCACATTTTTTACTATATGTATATACTAACTATATGTAATCTTCATTCATGTTAGGTACTTTTGGTATTTATAAGGATGTAGATTTTCGTTATCGATCATAGATATGCAGGTATCCGTTTTGACTTTTGCCTAGTAAATTTGACCTGTCTGAACCTTGGCTATATAGCTGGCACAACCTGAGGGGGCATGTACTGCAGAGGGTATGGTTTCTGATAGCATTGCTGATAGACACGTGGATAGATATAGCTGTGTTTACAATTTGATTATATAATTGCGACCTGGGCACCGATCGCTGAATTATAGCTTAATTTATATGTTACCTATACATATGCCAAAGTAAACAGGGTTGAACCGGTAGTCGGAGGAACGTCTGTCATTCCATCCTTCCCATTATGGTACATAACAATTGAATTTCCGCAAATAAACTCGACAAATATTTACTGCTTGCGACTTGCATACTGAGAATATGCCTCTGCGTTGATTTAAGTGCATATTGAACTTGATAATTGATCAACATTAATATGTAAGTAATGACAGGAAAGATATTATTAATCGACAGAATATGGACACAGTACTGACATTGCAATAACTAAGGTATCTGACACCATTACTCTTACTTGGTGCAGCTTTCTAAAAGAAGGAGAGATGATAATTTTGTTAACACATGTAAAAGCAAATGTTGATAAGCAAATAAATATTAAATCTGCTGGTACTTTGCTAACAATTTATGTATAACCTTATTTATGCTTTATATCAATAAAATCAGGAACAAAAAATATTATTTAATTTCTGTTAATTATTTTACTCCGAGGTAAGTCTGAACCCCATGGCCACTTAAGCATTAAAATGAAAATAATCTTTTCTATTGGCGTGCAATGGGCATTGCGGTATCAAGTCCTCTTATTTTATATATGTATGTTAGATGCATATACATGCCTCTGCTGTGGTTTCGAATCAATTCTTTTAGACAACAGAACTTGTTATTGGGTATCGCCAATTTTAAGTTTTTTGAGCTTCTGGTATTAACATGTCTGAAATATATACACTACAAGATGGTGTCGTTGTTAGGTCTTCCTTTATCATATGATTAAGTAACTCAAATTTCATTTTGAACGCGATTATTTTCTTGATTCATTTAAACAATAACTGGTTGTCTGGATGTAATTATTGTTGATATAATTACAAGTGGCCTCTGGCAAATCCCATAAAACCGCTAGGGTTTTATGGTAGATTTGCCAGAGGCCACTTGTAATTATATCAACAATAATTACATCCAGACAACCAGGTGTTTTTTATATTTACATATTTTTCTTTTTTAAGACATATTCCTACAAAAACCATTCGCCCTGCCTCAAAATACATTTCAGGCGGCCATTTTGTTTGTTTACATATTCCTACACCTGAAACAGGCAGTTGTAATTATAGTCGAGCAGTTGTAATTATAGCCTATATAATTACACTTGCCCTCTAACACTGTTGTAATGGGACGGCGCGGGGGGCAAATGTAAATATAGTTAAGTAATTGATAAAAACTATTTTAGGAAGGTAAACTACATTTTTAAACACTAGAAATACATGCATGTGCAATTTAATCATGCACATATAATTTGATTTGTTTTAATACCAAGGGAAAAAGGAAAACAGTAATTTCTGATATCACAAAGTTAATTCTCAGTTTGGAAGAAAAAAAGTAGTACCGTGATAAATATCTGAATACTTTCTGTACTTGATATATATCAAACCTAAGTGTTTTGAAATGAATGTGTATTGACCTGCAAGTAAAACAATAGTTTCAGAGTGATTTGCCGATCTTGAGCATGATTGTCTTATCACAAATGTAAACAGCTGATAATTTCTGAATGAAAATATCAGGTTGTAATATTAGAGACTTTTCTTGAAATCAAGGAGAGGGATATTAATTATAGAGACATTTTCTTGACTCGCAGACTGTTTTGAGGCATATATTGATATAATCATACAACGTATCTGTCTGTCGCACAACATGTGTTTACTAAGTGTTCAACCAATCTTGATGAAACTTCATATACCTATTTCTGACAGCAATCGCTTGAAACAATCGACCTTCCATAGTCCTTAAAAAGGGTTGATGTTATTCCCTGCTTAACCTTCAGCATTTAGGGGAAATGGCAACAACTGGTTCACCCAATGTCAGTATAATGTGAGCGAGCGAAATGCTGTGCTGGCTGCCTTCGGAATGGTATTTCAGTGAGATGGTACTATAATGTCGGCATCAGATCCGCGCTATCACAAGGAGGCAAGCACGCCAACATACCCTGTATCCTGCATACGCACACACAAGCACGCATACACTACACACATGGACGCACGTCCTTAAATAACTTTAGCTGTTAATAGGACGTTTAACAAAATTAAACCAAACCAAATCAATCGACCTTCCAAAGAAGTTTGAAATGAATCCGTCGAAAATTGCTTGATATATCGAGCGATCACTAGTTCAGCATTTGGGGCTTAACTCAGTAAATTATAGATAATGGTAGTTATCGAACTTGTCAAATCTGTCATGGTAATTAACCTTCATATTATGTTTGAAGATAATCTATTAAACAGTACTCGAGATATCGAGCGGTCAGTATCAGCATTTGACTAAAGGGACATTACTCAGTAACTAACAGCTAACTAATGGTGATTATCGAACTTGTCAGAGCTTTCCTGGGTGCTGAAATCTTTTTTAAAAACTTATTCTGGTTGATTCAATGAGAAATACTTCCATTTATTGAAATGAAAGTATGTTTTTATTAAAGCTGATAGCGCTGATTGGTTTAATACTATGCTTTTAGTTCTATGATTCTTTTTATTTTCATATCATGAAAGGACCCGTTCATTATACAGAGATAATCGAGATCTGCACTTCAGGCTTTTTTTTACTAGGGTAAACACTGGTGCACTTGAGGTAAGACTGAAGTGACCTGAATTTGACTACAATGTTTTGTCTAGTACACTGCAGTATTCATTACGTGTGCACTTCCAAAACACTACAAACCAAGTAGAGTTTGCTCCCAATTTTAAGTGGCCCCTTCTTTGCTATTGCTATGTAAGTGGGCCCTACTTCACTATTGTTATGCAAGTGGACCATTTTGTAACTTTTACATTCTATAAAAAGCTAAGGTCATTCAACGACGTACCTCCATGTGCGTAATGTATGCGTATGTGTTTATGTGTGTGTGTGAGAGAGGGCGTGTGTGTGCCCGAGGTGGCACCCAACACAGTTTTTCACCCGGTCTCATTATACTGACAACGGGTAAACTATTGGTTGCGATTCATCTTGATACTGAAAGTTATATGAATATTGTAATTTGTTACATTATATAAGCTGGTAATCATTAAAAATAATTATAAATCTATTAATTTGTTTTCAGTTATTAATTGATATCACTACACATGTGTTTGTATCATTAGGGCGACAGCGGTGGACCTCTGACCTGTGGCAATGTACTTGTTGGCTTGACGTCATTTGGAAAGAAAAACTGTGTAATCCAATTCCCAACTGTTTATACTCGAATAAGTAAGTTCCGGGACTGGATACAAAAGTTTATTGAAAAGACATCGATACATGCTCCGATTTTGTCATTGTCTGTTTTTTGAAGTAAACAATGATAAACTTTAAAATTGTCGTTATTGTTATTTCTTTAATTACTTACGTCAACTGTTTTTTTGTTAGTTTCATTACTTTTCTCAATATCTCAAAGACCTCATGACAGTATTTTTGCATTTCATCATCGTTAAAATATACAATTTAACGTGTAATGGTAACATTTCACAAATGGTTTCCCCAGCAGGTGTGGGAAAGATTAGGCCTGCTGTATGCCACTACATCTCCTTGTATAAAGACAATTTCATTCGCCCACCCCTCCTTCTCGTGCAAAATTAGGGATTATCTTCTGCGTCTGCTTGGGGAAATTGAAGAAATCATAACTGATCTGCTGATCCCAATATATTTCAGATTTATTTGTTTTTTATTCTCTTTACTGTACTTTTCCTTTTCGGTGTTGCCTCCCTGGGCACTCGGCTTTATATGACCTTGGTCGTTTCAAGGACATGTAACTACACACAAACAGCATTAACATTAAATACAATCTCTTAATGAATCTTTTGCTCCATTTTTGAATTATTGCCACTCGGTTGTGTTTTAAATGATTTTGTTTTCCAAATGGTTTTGTAATGAAGACTTGAATAGCATGTACACTGTGTATCTCAACTTTTAAACGTACATTGTATACAGAATATGCAGACCTCGGCAAACGCACAAATACTAATTCCGATAGGTGTTTTAAGCCATATCACCGATACAATGGTGTCGATGCCACATTTTACCAAGTTGTATTAAGCTGTAATTTGTTTTGCTATAATGTTATACAATTCTTCTTAATTCAGCAATTGACACAAATGCGTTTGTGGCATAAATACATTGCATATACAAGGATCAACTTTTTAAAAAAGTCTTTGATATGCTTTAATTTGTTTTGCTATAATGTTATACAATTCTTTTTAATTCAGCAATTGACACAAATGCTTTTGTGGCGTAAATACATTTTATATACAAGGATCAACATAACTCAAATTCACAGCGTATTTAATGAGCGTATGGCGTTCGCTTTAAATATTAATACGGCTCTATTTGTGTACTCTTCTTGTTGGTCGACATTATTGATTGCAGAAACTTGACCGATTCGATTGAAGACAAATAATACCGTCTCTTCATATACATATGTCTTGTCTTCAGATCGATAAAAGGTACATTTCATTAGGAAGTGATACCCGCCCTCTATGACCGAACCACTACATGTATGATTCTCTAATGGAATAGGGTTTGGTTTGTGCCAACGAACTACCTCAACACTCAAGCGATGAGAAGCGATTCTTCAAATTTTGTTAAACTTCTATACTACCTACGAACTGCATTCTTTTACCGCGCTAGCCAAAGTTTGTAGATTTTTAAACATTGGTTTTGTCTTGTTTAACGTCCTATTAACAACTAAAGTCATTTAAGGACGTGCTTCCATGTTTGTAGTGTATGCGTGCATGTGTGCTAGAGACAGGGTATATTGGTGTTAGTGTCTCCTTGTGATAGCGCGGCTTTGGTTTTGTATTATTTTGTATAACGCCCTATTAACATCTAAGGTCGTTCAAAGACGTGCCTCAAAGTGTTTTGTTTAAGCGTGCAAGTTTGTATATATGCTGGAGACGAGAGTATGTTTTCGTACTTACCTCCTTGTGATAGCGTGGGTCTGATGATGCCGACTTTATAGAGCTATATCACTGAAATACCATGCCGAAGTCACCCAACATAGCGCTATATTCGCCCGGTCACATTATACTGACAACAGATGAACCCGTTGTTGTCATTACCCTAAATGCTGAACGTGAAGCAAGGAAAAACAACTACAGTTTTGAAGAACTTTTGTATGTCCCGGCCTGGGGATAGAAACCGTTACTTTTCTCACATGGGCAAACGTTAAACACTCATCTACTATATCATCATTAACCAATCAATATCAACACATCAACACTTTCAGAAATTTCATAAACGTTAACCTTTGATAGAAATATACATACCTTCAATTTTATCAAACATTCAACGCCTACTGCCAACATTTATTAGTTTAATCACAAATTGTCTTTTACAACATTATCAGCAAATGTTGAGAAATCAATAAATGCACAATATAGACATTGAAAAAGATGGGAGATAACTCCATCCAAAATGAAGGTTTTGTTCATGGTACTATAGCCTTTCCTAAATCAAGTCTGTACATCAACGTAAACCTTATGTTTCTCGGCCAAGCAAATAAGCATAATCAATACCCCTGTAGATGGTCTCCCAACTACACTCAATCAAGAAGTCCCTATAGTTCGATACATCTGACATGATCCCTTCTTATGTAAAGGAATAATATATCCCTACGACCATGGAAAGAACATCCTTTGTTAAAGATCGAGTTATTCATTAACAGCAGCTACGATAACAATGCATCAGTGCCATACAATATTAACATCATTCATAACTAAAACCCCTTGTTTAATATCCTATTTTGACTCTTCAAACATCACCTTATTACACCCTTAACCTAGTCATCAACAAATTGTACAACCTCAGTTTCAGACTAAAAATTAACCATCTGGATTGGCTAAAGACGATAAAAAATTCAACAAAACTATCACCACTAATATATGATTTTGGTTTACTATTTACAAGGAAATTTTCGCTCAATCAATTTTTGCTCTTCGAGGTTAACTTCCGCCCAGTATTAAATTAGCTCTTGCAATTTAATTTATATGTAGGTAATGTATACTTAGTTGCTAAGTTATGTTCGCTGTTGTGATAAATTAAACTGCAGCGAAACGTTTCCAGTATACGGTATTTGAACATGATACCTTTTTATAAACGCAAATTCTCTTTTATAGGAATGAGTATTTCTCTATCGTAGTTCATTCGATATTTCCTAGCTTCATATATAAATTCATTTATTTTTTGGACCATATTTGTTCTGTTCGCATCAAACATATTTAATATTTGAAAAATATAACCCTCTAATGCACACATATATCACTATACAAAGGAATGATACAAAGGAGTATATATCGGTAAATTCCTCGCGTTATGTTAACCCCAGGAGACAAAATAGTTGCGACATAATTAGTGTTGCCTCTTAACATGAACTTTCGTTAAATATATCAAAAGCATTTTTTTAATCTGCATCACTTATTGCTGGTGTATCCAATTACCGGTTCATTTCTAAAAAAACAAACAATCAATTTTGTTTCCCTTTAAATTTAGTTGACGACGTTCCATTCGAGGCACAACTGTGCTATAACTACATGTTACCATAGACGTCTTTATTTAAACCATACAGTCATATGGCCAGTGTGAAAATTGGCAAGCCAACACACAAGTCAACAATCGATGAGAATAATTCGTGTGTTGTTATTACATATTCAACCAGAATGCACCGTCGGTCATTCGCAAAACTTAACGATCCTATACACGCGTCCTTTTCCGCTCTTCCATTCAATATAAATCAACCGGAAAACTTACATAAACCAGTTAACTTCAAGTCATTGCTATTAATTCTACTTGATTCGGTAAATGCCGCTTATCCATACTGTCCTCTAAGCATTCGTCATCTTTAAAGTCACTTTGATCATTTTCAACGTTATGAGGTTACTCCTTTCTTCAAGTGTCTTCCTTGTTATTGACCATACTAGTTAATATGTTATATAAAAAAGATCAAAAGTATCTACATCTAATAGAGCCTGCTTACTCGTATTTTCAGGTAAAACATGGCACAAAAAGAGGTATAAATTTCTTTAAAAAAGAAGATTTTGGACATTCGACATAATCATATTATCGGCACCCTAATAACCTGCCTAACGTCCGATACAACAGATTTCTGTTAATACACATTTACATCATCAGAATCATGCCTCGTACCTCGACAATATTCCATGTAATGAATGATCCTCTACATAAAGATTACACAATTATGAGAGTCAAGTTTCTGGTAAAAGGATTATGTTGTTATAGTTGATGATATTTTGTAAAACAGCCGGTGTTCAAGCGTTTCGTTACAAATCCCGGTGCATTTAAACTCACAAATCTCGCAGAATTAGTATTAATTTCACGTGCATCACGACCCTTGTCGTTCTATTCCCCGTCGTCTCTTTGCCTATTCCTAACTACAGCTCCCTTGACTCCCTCTTCAAGCAATGGGCGTTGAACTTCCTAATGATAATATCTGCTGATACAATAACCATCGTTTTGCGCAAAAAGGGCGCGGGTCTTTCCATTTACACCACGTTTCAATTTGCATATCCTATGCATCCGTTGAATACTCATTTCGTCACAAATGGCCAATGTAGTTTCAGTAGTAACAACATCAGAACATCNTGTTGCCTTATCAACATATGTATTGACCTTATTTAGGACTTTTTGAATTTCATCTAATTGACAAAGCATTTTATTCAATTATCCAAGTTATTCATCCACTGTGAGACTATCAAATAATAAATACTAATAATGCGAGGTTCTTATATACCGCTTTATCACAACCTAGTTCGTAGGTTGTCTCAAAGCAGTTCACAAACTATAACCCGTGGTTATAGGGCCTTTGCAACCAGCCAGTATCTTATTCGGAGCATACACCCGGTGCTGCTATTTCGGCGATCACAGCTAGCATCACGCAATGCTAGGACTGCCCAACCACGTACTCGTTTACAGCTGAGTAGACGAGCAAGTGGAGTAAAGTATCTTGCTCAAAGATACAACACAGTGCTGTGCCGTGGCTCGAACCCGCAACCCTTCGATCACGAGCCCGGTGTCCTACAACTAGACTACCGTGCCTCCTAAGACAAATCCGAAGAGGATTATTTCTGTAGCTTTCTCGTGCACACCGGTATTTTTCTCGCCCTCTTACTTTGATCTGTACGTTAGCACACATGCACAACTTACCAGGAGGCTATCGTAAACTGACCTTATCTGTTGTTAGGGCGTCAAGCAATACAACACCAAAACACTTTCCCATATTTTGGATTTGTAAAACCCATGGTTACCACATTAAATAACGCAACAAAATACAAAAATAAGAACTGATT